AAAAGAATCAACTGGCAAAATACCAGGGATAGTCAGTACACATGTGTGAATGCATTTCTGTCAATGTATAAATGGCTCCAGATTTTTTTTTTTCTCATTTTACCAGGGGCAGAGCATAGGAAAGTCCTAGATCCTAAAGATATGAGTGAGAGGAAAATGAGACTTAAACAGTGGATATCAGAGATTCTGAAACTAGGAATTCCCCCCAACAATGTCCCTTCAGGGTGTTGGGAGCTAGGAACTGAACACAAAGCAGGATGGTTGCTGAGAGGCTTCACAGGTGGGCACCTGCAATTCCAAGTAGTTTATTTTGAGAAAAGAAAAAGAGAGAGAGAGAGAATACAAGTGCTTTGTGGTTTGCAGATTCCCAAGTACATGCAAAGATTATTATTATGATTAAGCTACTTTTTGAGTAGGAAGTGTTTGATTCCATGGAATTATTAAAAATACTCTTTTCATGTTTAACCAAATGTCCCTTAGAATAATGATGAATCATTTAACAGCTTCAGCTAATCCCATTAAGCCCAAGCCTTTTAGGACAGGCTGTGTTTGAGGTGACCTATGATTTCCCTCAAAGTCTTGCTGGCTGTATTGGTAAATAACAGCCACCACAAGCCAGAGCTCACATTGTCCTTTTCTTGCCCACTTTTGCTTGACACATGAATCCATCTTCAATCAAGTGAACAGAGCAAGCCAGGCTGGGAAGCACAGTTGGACTTTCGCCAGATATCATTGCTGACTTGCCAGCTAATGTGTTCCTCCAATATGTGCGAAGGCAAAGGCAAAAACACAGTCCCAGTTCTCTGTAAACCCGATACACTCCAGTGTAATCTTGAGACTTCAGAAATAAACTGTGGAATACTCTGCCCCCCTCCCCCGTTCTCCCATTTTACTTCTTAATTTATTAAGCCTCTTAATAAAACAATGTAAATTTAATCAAAGTAGAATAAAAAATTATTAGAATATAAAAAATTTTAAAATATATGTAGGTCTCTTCAGAAAACAAAACTTTTTTTTTTTTAAAGATTTTAGTTATTTATTTGAGAGAGAGACATTGAGAGACAGCATGAGTGAGGAGAAGGTCAAAGGGAGAAGCAGACTCCCCATGGAGCTGGGAGCCCCATGTGGGATTCGATCCCGGGACTCCGGGATCATGACCTGAGCTGAAGGCAGTCGTCCAACCAACTGAGCCACCCAGGCATCCCCAGAAAACAAAACTTAACTGGCATTGTCAATAAACAATATGTCAACATCTTCCTAGAAGAATACAGAGTTTCCTATAATTTACATAAAGGTTGTGTTTAGCAAACCTCTCAGACTTCCTACTAAACAAAGGTTTCTGAAGAAGACTTTTGCAGTAATAGGTTCATGAATGAAAGCATTCTTGACAATGCCATCGCTAAGCACCATATCTGACATATGGCAAGAGCTTAGTAAATATGGGTTGAGTGGAGAGTGAATAAGTACAATTTATTTGCAGTGAAATTTTGAAATTATGAAATGAACATCCAAACTTACTCTATGGGAATTTTTGAGAGGCTTTCCTGAGAAATGGGCATGGGAGTTGTGTAGTTTGTGACTGTAAATCAAGTCTATTGCAAGGAATTATTAGATGACCTGGAGTCTCATTTTCCTTAAAAATACCCCAAAATAACAAAAGTGAGACAAAGTAAAATAAAGGGCAACAACTTCTAAGGGAACTGTTGAGGGTGGTGTTGTTGTTTTTACTCCTAAGTAGTCAAGAAAAAAAGCAGATGGGCCTGGGAAGAAGAATAGCCATCATTAATTTTTTTATTATTATTATTAATTATTCACTATACTTATGGGCCCCAATCTGTGCGCCAAACTGCTGAACACATTAGGGGTTTGCAATGTAGATATTATCTTCATTTCACAGAGGTAGTAACTAAAGTTTAGAGATCTTAAAGAAAAAAACTTTCAAGTAGTATATGTAGAATTAAAATGCAAGGCTGAAAATGAAGATTGCAGATTAAATTAATGGAGAAATCTGGTTTTTCAGATAGTATTTCATTTTACAGAAAACAATTCTGGCATCTATTAGATTTATTGAAAAACGCTGGTTACTCAATTAGATAGATATTACTATCAGTGAGGGAATTTGGATCAGGGATTGATTAGATTACTACATAGTTCTACATACTACATACATTACTACATAGTTCTCCTGGTTTGCTGAGAGTTTATTTTACTTATTTTTTAAAAGATTTTATTTATTTATTTGTCAGAGAGAGAGAGAGACAGAGAGAGCACAAGGAGAGGCAGAGGAAGAAGCAAGGCTCCCCACTAAGCAGGGAGCCTGATGTGCGATTTGATTCCAGGAGCCTGGGATCATGACCTGAGAGGAAGGAAGATACTCAACAATCTGAGCCACCCAGGCACCCTGCTTGCTGAGAGTTTAAATAGAGAGTGTGTCTATTTTTCAAGTGATAGTGAACATTTTTAAAGTCTTACACTAATGGTGTTTTCTGAATACTCCATGCTCTTTCTAGGTATTACAGAGTTGAAATCAAAATAAAAAACAAACTTTAATTTCACTTGATTAAAACAAAAAGTCATCCCCAGAAACTGGTTTACTCAGCTAAATCCATCCATCCATCCTTCCTTCCTTCCTTCCTTCCTTCCTTCCTTCCTTCCCTCCTTCCCTCCTTCCTTCTTTCCTTCCTTCCTTCCTTTCTTAGATTTTATTTATTTATTTGAGAGAATGTGGTGAGGTGGAGAAGATGGGGGGGAGGGTCAGAGGGAGAAGCAGACTCCCTGCTGAGCAGGGAGCCCAGACTGAGGAAGAAGAAACGGGGCTCCATCCCAGAACTCTTGGGATCATGACTAGAGCCAAAGGCAGATGTTTAAGCTACTGAGCCACCCAGGTACCCCTAAAATATTTCTTGTGAACTGAAAGCAAAGGTCCAGGAAGAAATGATCTTTCTATCACATTGCCACCTGCCCTTCCCCAAGGAACAGACAAAGAGAAGTCAAAAAGGCTGGAGGGGTCAGGAGTCGACTCTTTTCAAAGAAGTAGAGTCCAAAGAAATTAAACACTTTGCTCAAGGTTTTTAAGCTAGTTACAAAGGCAAGCTTGGTAATTAGAACCCTATAGAGTTCCAGCATATTCTCCATTTTAATGTTAAGTTTTCAGGTTAATGTTATGGTGAAAAGCACCCCTAAAAGCTTTCTGTCTCATGCTTCCTGGATCAGAAAGCATCTAAAATCTTATTTTGCTTCTTCTTTGCGAGATTAAAGTAGCTAATCCTCAGTTTGTTACATCTTTTTGGAATGCCCATTCATGGTTAAGAAGCAATTAACCAGAACCACTTTATTGGTGCTTCCTTTCCTATCCTTCCTCCTCTCCACATTTATCCTTCTGCTAAAGTTGTTTTTTGTGCCAAAAAGTAAAAGACTTGAAAATAATGCTCATAATGCATCATAAAGGAAACCAAATGTTTTTGGACAATATGAAGAACAAAGATTTGTACAATTTTTTATGACTCACTTTGAGCAATCACAGGTGGTCCTTAAATTGGCAGTTGTTAGCTTTTAAAAGCAAAATATGTATCCACACATAATAATAAGTTGTGTGGGGAACATTTCAAGGTTCCAGGTTCCAAGAATGAGTCACCTATAGCCATGCATCAGAGAATATTAATTGTATGAAGCTAAGGTAAAGTTCCTACCATCTTTGTCTTCGTTCTTAAAGTGTACATGTGTTTAAAGTAATGATTAAAGAGAACATGACTTCTTGAAACAATATAATTCTCTTTGGAACACTTAGATTTGACGTGGAATGGCACACTATGTGAAATTTTTGTCTAAGCAGACAGTATTTCATCCCACTCCCAATTTCAACATTTTTTTTAAAAGAACCTAGAGAATTTGGACTGTAACAGAGTACAAAATTATGGAATTTGAAGCTCAATCAGTCCCATATTCTGCCTAATGTAGGAATCCCTATTAGATTATCCCTGGTATGTCCATCCAGATTTTGCTTTAAAATAGTCAATGATCTATACAGAAACAATTGTTGACTGTAGATAGATAGATGGACAGATAAGAGTATAGATAATAACATAAGTAAATATTCACTTCACTATGAATGAGCCAAGTTACCATTCTAGAATTCACGTATCTTAGGTACCTGTGGTCAACTTGGCATAATTGCCATCACCATTATTACTTCAATAAAATGGTAATTGTTATTTAATACATGTTTTGGGACCAACTGCAAAAAATTGGAAATATGCCTAAACATAAACATGCTCTAGAAAAATACTTTTCAACAAAATAGGGAATAAGGACCATAGAGTGAAGATAACTAGGGATATTTCTTGATTTGATTATGAGCATAGGTACTCATACCACTGCATCCAGGGAGAAACATGAAGGAGAAGCTAAGAGAGATAATACAAAGCCCCCAGAAGAGGAACCTACCAACAATAACAAAAGCCTGAAACCCAGAATCAAACATAGGATGTGGGCAAAATTAAGTTTTCCAAGAAAGTTTCAGAACCCTTTCAACAGGCCAACTTCTGGAACTGTCCAAAAATTCATTTATCTAGGACTGTGTAAAAGCATCTCAAATAAAGAGATTTATTCATGTGAAGCTTCTTAGCGATTTGAATGACAGACTGGGGCAAACATGGTCCAATATTTCTGTCCTCAAACCTCAGAGCACTACTGGGCTGGTAAAACAACCCTTACTCAGCTGGTTTACTGCAATGCAATGAAACAGTCTTAGGAGAGATAGTACATTAAATCAAGTCCCTGAAATGACGAATTCCGCTTCTCCCTGGGACCGTGCGGAGGCTCAGAAATCAGACTCATCTTGGATGCAGAGTAAAGAAGCATTTTTTTTTTTTTTTTAAACTTCACAGAGTTCTCCACCTCTGCGTCGCATTAGCCTGGAAAGGATGCTCCTACACAACTGCAAGGGCATGCAGAGGGGGACGTGACGCCCTTAGGGAGAGGGGACCAAGATTCCAACTGACCTTTTTGCTGTTTAAAGGACTGAATCGAGCCTGAGTGGTGGACCATTTTCACTCTGCGCGTCCCCGCTGGGTTCGGAAGCTGTCCGAGAGGAGGCGGAGGAATAGGAGCCAGACTCTCTGAGAGGCTCCCGGGCGCCACACAATCCCTGAGCCTCCGCGAGCGCGCTGCAATCCAACACCTGCTTTAGCCGGCACTTTGCTCCTAAGGCTGCGCGCCCACCGTTGTTATGGCAACGCCGGAGGGCGGTCCAGCGTCCAGCTCCCCTTAGCGGCTACTCGGGGAATTAACCTCGCATCCCCAGAGCGTCCAGTGCCGCAGTGTGGGTGGGTGTTGCGTTGGGTTTGCCTGGCAAGGGAGGGGAGGACTTTTCTTAGCGACTATAAATAAATCCGAGCAAATCTCTGGAGCCACTAAGTAATTACCTCTTTTTCAAGTTTTGGGTCTGGTTATTATATTGAGGCACAGTTTTGATTTCCTAAAAGTTGGTCTGTAAATACTGGCACTTACAGAAGGGCAAAGCTGATCTCGCCTCTGAGAGAAATGCAGCAGATGGAGAGACGTTTCTGTCTTTCCCTCTCAAACTCGAGCATAGAAATATGGATAACTTTCACTTAGCCACTAGAATGGTTTTATTAGATAAGTTATGTTAAATGTCTAGCACATTACATGTGAGTTATCCTCTTGTATTTGAGCTATTGAGGCCTTGAATCATACGATAGTGACACTGGACCATTTATTTACCTACTAAGTAACAGGTGTTGAGAAGACACTATCTACCATCCCAAATGTAATCCTCACAAAAGCCTTATAAAGTAGATAGAATATTATTTTAATATACTAAAAGAAACTGAGGCCTGGGACAACAAAGAATTCTCAAGACCATAAAAACCAACACTTTATGTTGAGAGAGGAAGATATCCAACACCCAACCGGGTGAAGTAACTTGGGGAGGACCAAACCACAGTGGCCCCAAAATAGGGACAGGAGCCAGTTCGGCACCTTCCTCAGTGGCCTCTCTCCTCCTCTTACCTTCTTCTTCCTGCTGCCGGATTCAAACCTCGTAGCTCCTCCTGGAAGATGTAGCATTACCGCACAGACACAGCAAGCAACTATGCTTCCCTGATTTTTGAAGGTTTGTGAGACTAACTCAGTCAGTTGAAGAATTCAATTAAAGGGAGATGGAAAAGAGAAAGATGGAATGATGTCAAGGTCTTCAAAACCCCAAACAGGTTGAGTTACCATCATGCTTTGATTTCACCTGTAGTGTATAACACAAGGGCAGTAAAGGAATGCAGCTTTGAACATGAAAACATTCCAGTTAAATATGACTGCATAATCACTCTGAAACTAAAAGATTTAAACTACAATTTATTAATATCTTTCATGATATTTCAGAGGTTGGTCAGTCAGCCTGGTGGTTCTGACTAGATTTTTCTTGAGTTTTCTGTGGCTAGGCACTGAGAAGAGAGAAATTTGATTCCACTCTCAGGGAAAGGCATATAGCATAGAATGTGCAGCCTTCTTTAATGAAGGATAATGGTTTTTCCAGAAGGAAGATGTTGAACATTCAGTAAAAGCCCGGGATGCAAACATTGAAGAAATACTTGGTAATGAAAAATTAACTCAGTGTGAGTTTATCTCCAACTGAAGACCCCTTCTTTAATGAAGGATAATGGATTTTCCAGAAGGAAGATGTTGAACATTCAGTAAAAGCTCAGAATGCAAATATTGAAGAAATACTTGGTTATGAAAAATTAACTTGGTGTGAGTTTATCTCCAACTGAAGATCCAGAAAAAACCTCAGAGACTATCTCCACAGAGCCTCATTTTACAGCTATTTTACAGAAGAGGGCTTTGAAACCCGAAGCAATAAATGAATATCTGAGTGTGTCTTGGTTATGTTTTTTTCATCTTCAGTTAAAATTCTAATATAGCTCAACTTATAGGTCATTCTGATACAGTCCAACTCATTGGATTTTAATAGCACCCAATCTCATGATTACATTAGATCATATAATTAAAGACTAGTTCATGGCAGCAAAGCAAAGCTCAATAAATATCACATACTATTATAATTATAACTCCTGAGGATCTGATCTTCTTTTACAAACCCTTTTAAATCAGTGTTAGATTCAGAAATATTTTTGAAATATGAGCTTTAATTCAATTTATGATCAGGAGGAACAGTTGAAAGAATTAAAGGCTCATGGTTTTACTCTACACTTCCAGGCATAAGGACATCTTCAATTTCCTAGAACCTCTTCTTTGTGCTGATGTCTTATTTTCTCCAACCACAACTCAGCAGGAGGTAAGGATGTACAGGCACGGAGCTAGGAATGAGTTAAGAGTTTGAACCTCATTAGAAATTAATTATTTTTAAAAAGCGATTTTGTATATCTAACACCATGGTACCCTAGTCTCTGTAGTGCAACTATGATTAAATTATATTCTCATAAAGTTGATTACTTTTAATTAGTAATATTTTAGGCTGGACTGACATATTGGCTAGCAGGGAATTCAAAGAATATCTTTGCTTGTTTTAAAATCGTCTTTTAAGGAAGGTTGCTAGAGGAACAGCTTTTGTGAGGGGCCTAGGCAATTTCAAGCACCATCTGCTTTACAGGAAAGGCAATGCAAAGAGAAGGAAAAGCTGTATGTGTATGTGTATGTATTCTGAAAGTGGAGATGGAGGGGTTTGAACAAAGACCTTCCCAAAAAATAAATCTTCCTATGCTCTGATAAGAAATATTTTGAATCTAACATTTCCATTGTAGAAAGTTTAGGAATGAATATTTAATAGCCTCATTAGAGAAGGCTAAACTGATTTTTTTTTTTTTTTACTATTTTTGGTTTCAAATTTCTTTCTTCAAATTTTAAAGATGAGAAAATACTTTATATAATGCTCAGTGAGGGAACATGATTATCATACATAATGATCTTAACTATGTTTTGCAATATATTAAAAAAAAAAAGACTTGAAAGAAACATACCAAAATGTCCAAAATAACTAATTTTGCAAGTAAGGATTAAGGCTGATTTTTTTTAGACCTCCATATTTTTTTTGACATATTCTACACTAAATTTATATTGATTACATACATATATTTTTAAACTCCTTCAGTATCTATCATTCTACAAATCTAATTTTTCTTTTTCAGTCTTGGACCCTGGTTTTCTTTGTTCTGTTTCCTTGCTCAGGTCTCTGCTGCATTTGCTCTCCCACAGCTCACCACCTGTCTCCTGTCCTTCTTAGGTAATTAATCTATCAGGCCCCATGCTAACTTTTGCCTCCCAGAGAGGTAAGAAACTCTGCTTTTACATCAAGCGGTTTTCTATTCCTTTGAACTCCGAAATATGACCATTCAGCTCAGCCAATTGTGAGGTTCCCCATTTTGTGCTCTATCACAGGAACTGAGAGAGTTCTGTCGTTACCTCTTTGCATCTTGAATAAGTGACTTAATTGAAACTGGGATTGCCGATTCTGCTTCTCTTTGCCTCAATGGAAACTGAAATAAAGATACTCTCTTTGCAGTCATTCCCTTCCTAGAATCCAGTTATTTAAGGTATTAAAGGGCAAAATGAAATAGCCAAGTCACACCGGTAATGGGTTTATTTGCAAAGAGTAAGGAAGGGAGAAGGGGAGAGAGAGCTCTCCCAGAGACATTCTTATAGGGAGACTCTGATCTCCTTGAGAACAGATAGAGTGTTTCTGTTTCTTCAGAGACCAGTATAGTTCCAGTCACACAAGCTCAATGAATACTTACTAGTGAATAAATAAAGAAAGCAATTAATTTAAAATTCTAAAATGACTTCAAGAAAAATGCTGCTTTAGTGACCTGAGCAGTTGTCTTCCTTATGCAAAACCAAGAGAAATAATATTAAACCACTTATATATTTTATATATATTTATATCTAATCTATTAACTACTTTCTTGGTTCTAGTCACTATCCATGGTTTATTAAAGGTATAAACGAGCTCTTGAAAAAACCGAGTGCTGTGATAAATGGAAGGGTGGAATACAATTTAACAATTGCTTCCCCAAAGCCTTGGGTTCCTGGGCACACGTGACAGTGTAACAACAGGTTAGTCCTGCTGACAGCCAGGCTAGACGCTCAGAGAAGCATTCAGAAGTGATGTTCCTAATGGACATAAGTGAGTAAGAGAAAGCACCGGAGGAAAATCAGCAGCTTCTACCTAATCTGAATCTAGCCTGAGGTGGTCTTGTTACACAGTATTCTGAAGAGACAGGGACACAAAACAGTTTAAGAAGACAGCATTAAGAGAAGGCAGATGTGTAGAATAAAGGAGGTAATGACAGAATAAACATTTTATATTTTACGTCTCTCCTGAAAACTTTACCATTATTTCAAGTTGTCTATAGAATGGAGTCCATGTTTATGGTTCTATCATTCAAGGAGCTCCATGATCTGCTCTCAGCACTTTCTAATCTTGCTTCTAGGACTCTCTATACTCAGTTTTGGTCCTACAATGGTTTTCTTCCTCATAAGCCTCTCTGCTTTTGCTGCTGCTGTTTTCTGCACTTGGGATGCTCCTTCTAAAACTCCTGTCCTAGTCATGTTTTCCCAACCCCTACTCATCCTTTAAGGCCACAGAGCAATGCCAATTCTAAAACGAAGACTTCCTCTTTCCACATCCACCCACTATGAAGCCAATTAGATGTGAATTTAATCTCCTATAATTCCTATAGAATATGACTAACATCATTTCATGGCATTTTTTATCATGTTTGTATTATGCATTAGATATACACTCCTTTGAAAGTTAGCACAAACATTTCTTCTGTTTGTCAAAAAACTCTAATAATAAGACATTCAAAGATAAGTCCAGTGTATTAATTACCTTTCCAAAATTTACACGCAAGACTGTGGTTTTATATTGTTCTGTGATTTTACTTATTCTAGGTAAATAATTTCATAAAGATTGGTCCTGTTGTTTTGAAAATCTAGGACTGTAATAATTGTTGGTTTATTTTCTACATCTGTTCATCTTCATCAGCTTTTAAACTGATACTCTGGTCATATTGACTACCCTACCACATTTGGTGAACTTCCATGCTCTTGAGCCAACTTTTCCATAAACACTCACCTAGAGTTCAAGGCGTGAATGTTGTCTATGGCTAGCATCTACTCTGATAGCCTGATGCTTCTATCGACTGGTATAGGTCTGTGCTGTGTCAGTTGTTGGGGTTATTTGCCAGTTGGAGTGGAAATAAAGTAGCTTCTGCAGTTACCTATTTTCTTTTCAGAGAAAGTAAGTGTGTGGTCCCTGGGAAGCT